GGAAGGGCAGCAGGACCAGACGGACTACCTGCTGAGGTATACAAGAATGGTGGTAGAGTTCTCTTAGTCAGGCTAACGGAAGTGTTAGCCAGTATATGGGAATCAAATACGATCCCCTCCGACTGGTCTAAGTCACTGATCATCCCAGTCTTCAAGAAAGGCGAGAAGTCCTCTTGTGATAACCACAGAGGAATCAGCCTGACAAACATAGTGTCTAAGATCCTAAGTTCTATAATTCTCCGACGCCTGAGTGGAGCTCGGGAACAGCAAGCCCGAGAAAACCAGGCAGGCTTTAGACCTGGCCGTGGATGTATCGACCAAATATTCACACTGCGCCAGGTCCTGGAACATAGGCATGCTTACAGACGCCCGACAATAGCTGTATTTCTCGACCTGAAGGCGGCATTTGACTCCGTTGATCGAGAAGTCTTATGGCAGTGTCTGTCACTGAAAGGCGTGCCTAGTAAGTACATCACCTTATTGAAAGCTCTCTACTCGAACACTTGTGGGCATGTTAGAGCCTATGGTGAGTTGTCCAGGGAGCTATACTCATCAAGTGGTGTCCGTCAAGGATGCCCACTATCCCCATTCTTATTTAATTTTATCATAGATATTCTTATGGAGGTTTCCCTCTCGTCACCTAATTACAAAGACGTTGACCGGACCACAGGTGAATTTTCCTTAGATCTAGAATATGCAGATGACATAGTCCTGTTAGGTGAAGACGCTGACAAGATGCAGAGTCTTCTGAACACTTTGAGTGGGAATTTGAGAATGTTTGGGATGCGATTTTCACCACCCAAATGCAAATTTTTGCTCCAGGACTGGTCTTCAGCGGTACCGCGGTTAACAATAGAGAGTGAAGTGGTTGAGTGTGTTGACCACTTCACTTACCTGGGAAGTAGGATCAACTCCGGTGGGTTAGTTGCCGATGAGATTTCTGCACGGATACAAAAGGCTCGATTGGCTTTTGCCAATTTGCGCCACCTATGGCGCCGCCGTGATATTCGTTTGTCTATTAAGGGTCGCGTGTACTGCACAGCAGTCCGCTCTGTTCTACTGTATGGCTGTGAAACATGGCCATTGAAAGTGGAAGACATGAGAAGGTTACAGGTATTTGACCACCGTTGCCTTCGTAGTATAGGACGTATTCCGTGGTGTCACCATGTGAGTAATGCAGAAGTTAGGTGTAGAGTTTTAGGGAGAAGAGGTAAGTCAGTCGACGAGGTTGTGAACCTTCATCGACTGAGATGGTTGGGACACGTACTACGTATGCCTAGTCACCGATTGCCTCGTCACACAATGTTGGCTGAGGTGGGTTCAGGCTGGAAAAAGGCCCGAGGTGGCCAGACTAAAACATGGCACCAATGTATGAAGTCTCTGACTGTTGGTTTAAGCCATGTAGGACGATGCAGACTAGGTGGTTGGGGTCCACGGGACAAGAGGAACCAGTGGTTGGAGACCCTAGGTGATATGGCTCAGAACCGAAGTCAGTGGCGCAGATGTATACACACATTATCCTCATCTTAACAACGCTATACCGAATCTCACTATTTTGTCACTCCTCTTTCCTTTCTTCTCATACTTTATATTTCTTTTGACTGCATTCACTTATCTTCATCCTTCACCTCACTACCTTTTTACTTGATGTGCTGATATGAGGTGTGGCAACTCGGACCGTTACGCAGTAATGCCTGGTCCTATGTTGATAATGATGATGATGATGAGGTAGGTGAAACCATGTGGGTGAGATAAAACACTAATCTATCATTATGTATTTGGCTAGGGTGTTTATATAATCGTCTTCTTCAATGTCTTTTACAACTTTTTTTTCTCTCAACCACTTATATTTGTGTCTTTTGAAGTGGATTTGATGAAAACTGAACTCATTGAAAAAAGTCGTAGGGATTTTTGTTATTATCACAATTTTCATAGGTTTTAATTTTGGGTTGAGATAATGAAACGGTGAGTTATGAGAGTGTGTTTTAGACTCAATATTAGTCTTGCAGATGTATCCACCTTCTTGGAGGCTTTCAACTTGATTTTGAAGGTAGGTTCATTGCACTAGATAGTGAGTAGTGTGAACCTACATCTGCTCCTCCTGCTGATCTTGTGTTCAGTAGGCTGCGTCTCCACTTTCTACAAATTGAGATGATGTCGATCTCAATTTTAGCGTAGTGTGTCCACCTGGTGAAATCAAATCCATTTCGCTTTGTGAATGTCCTTATGCTTGTACACACTACTTCCAACCACTAAATCGTTGAATGCGCAAAAATCTGCCAACAGTTTTCTATTCTCGTTCATCATTTGTGCGAGTGCTTCCCGACCCATTATGAGTTCTCTTCCTTTGTTTTCTTTTCACAGTTTGGCATTCGTAATACATATTTTTAATTTTGATGTTGCCAACTGGAGTCTTGTCTAGTACTGATTACTGTTGTCTATAAAATTCTTCTCTTCATCTGCATTATTTTTAGGTGTACAGCATTGTATGATTGTGACTTTGCTTCCTTTTGAGTTGAATCGTGCTTTCATTATCCTGGAGGAGGAGATTGGTTTCCACTGCATGAAAGAGAGCCTTTGATGTTCCTGGTGAAACCATGATAGCCACTCGAAAACTCAGTGTGCTCGTGGTTGTCGTATGAGTGACAATATCGGAGTAGATGATTGACTGTGACTTGACAGTTTGGAGAATCCACTTCCATTCCATCTGCTGATTCCTCGCAGATTCCCAGCACTACAATGCGATACCTCCCCATCTCTTTTGCATGGTTCATACATGGTGCGGACATTCCATGTCCCCATCCTTGCTTTCGCTTTCATCTAGAGAGAGAAGACACATCGGCCGACTGGCTTCCCCAAGGCTTTGACCAACCGGTGTCATTTCGTCTCTCCGATTCCGGAGAGGAATACGTTTTTTTTTTCATTTTTATATTTTCTTTAGCGATTGGATTTGTTTTACGGGGTAGTGTTGGTTGCCCTACGCCCAACTTTCCTTCTTTATCCAGGCATAGCACCGGCTAGTATCTAGTAAACTAGTTAACCAGGCGAGGTTTTCTTGCTACTCATGGTGATTAATATTATGTCTCGTTATGGCACTTTTGTGTCAACGGTCACACCTTGTAATCTTTCCTGGGTGGCTTCCAATTTAAATTTTGTAACACCACATGTAAGTAGTTGAGAAATATCTACATTCACGGTGCCATTTGTGAGTCATTAGCAATCTAATCATCCTGTTTAAGATATACTGGTGCATCGAAGTTAGCTAGTCAGCTTCAGTTGGTCTGAACAACTCAGCTCCTCGGGTTGGATTTTTCTGAGTTCACAGTTGATGAGCTCAGCCTCGGTTGAGCTTAACGGCCGTTCAGTGTTTAGACCGCTGTCGTCTAGCTGGGAAATCTCAAGATATGCCTGAATGGTTTACAACTATTCAATTTGTTCTATAGTACATAACAACAGTATGCATCATTGTTCACCATTACGCTGTGTTATGTCATCTTTTTTACCACCTTCAATCTGATTTATTCGTTTTTGTCTTAAATGGAAAAGAAGTCGACAAACCAAGACAGCTAGATAATTTGTTCCTTTTCTGTGGTCTTCTTCAAGTTTTTCCCTCAACCACTTGAATTGTTAGCTTCATTTCCCATTTTTTGTAAAACTAACTCTTTCATCAATGTAAACTGTTTAATCTCTGTACTCTTTTCTTTTTGTTTCAGTACTTTACTCCTTTATTGTAACTGTTGCTTGTTGACGTAATCGTTGTTATGCGTTGATTAGTCACTGGATCGTAACCAATTTATAATGTCTATTCCTACAAGCTGAATGAATCCTATCAATCATTTTGAAATGTAGTCATTTAGTTAGGAGACTTATCATCTCGGTGCAGTTTGACTGATGTTAGTTAGCTAGAGGCGATTACCATGATGCTCTGAACCTAATTTTCGAAATTATTGGCTTTCGTCAGCCTGGTGTACCTAGTATCTCTAAAGAACTGACGTTACGTGAGGGATTTGAACACGCAGCACCCAGTGCTACTATCAGAGACGTCACTGAATAGCTCAGTGATAGCATCTCTTACTGCAGCACTGAGCAAAACGGGCTTGAATCTCTGAAAGGACACGGGTAGTTTTCGGTCAATGCTAAGCACTCAGAGCTAGACAGCTTCGTTGATTACTCATTTGTGATCAATTCATTCGCAAAATCCAGTCCTACAGGGGATCAGTCATGATATGAATGGCTTAGTAGTAAGTATTCGATGCACACTGAGTGATAGAGGCTTGAGTCGTTTGCGGAACATCAGTTTCTTCCTTGTTACAAATACGCCTTGCTGACTAATCTTAGCAAACCAGAAACCTACGTTCATGGCGTGCTGCCGGTTACATCCAATCAACCAGATTAATATCGTATTTTGCGTCTAATCTTATCACTATTCCACCGAATCATTTACTCAGTCGAAAATTCATAGCATTTTTTTGTGAAAAAAAGTACTGTGTACCATTGTTGATGCTTTAGCGTTTACACTGGATGAATAACTACAGTAATCGTTTGCCCTATATACTGTTGTACACTTGGTATAAAGCTCTGGACCCTAACTTTCAAACTTGTTGGCGTTAGTCACCCGTGTATCTCCTACCTAAAGGGAACTCATATTCCCAAACAGATCTGATTCCACACCATCCAGCACTCCATCGGGAACCTGGCGATAGATGTTTTGAATCCGGCTGCGGTTTAAATTTTAATTTACCTTCAATCATCTCACAGTATCAAAAATGATTGTATTATGCCTGGAGAAGGTTTAAAAAAGATATTGATGCCTCTTAGTGTGCCACCATCCATTGATAGTCTTGATGGTTTCAATTTTCTGCTAAATTAAATGTGAGTGTGACCTGGTTCTTGTCACAAAAGTTTCTAACCCCTAATACTACTTATCTATCGTAACTGCACAATAAAAATCTGCTTTAAACTTCAATAGACACAGTCGCCTAGTAATTATTAGGTATATTGTTTCTCTTTAACATACTTTTATTAACTAATGAATTCTGAAATATAAGCTAAATTAATTAGATCGTTGAGTAGTTTTCTGCGTTTATCAAAACATCTAAGTATTTCTAACAATTTAGAGTTGTTCATTTCGTACGCATACTTATTGTGTTGAATACTGCACACATTTTCTACTCTTTTGTGGGTTACAAAAGTATCCGGACTACTGTCGACCATTTCTTCACTACTGTTCTTGTACAAAAGAAGAAGTATGTATAGAATGCTACCCTGAATCTGTTTTGGATTTGGTAATTTGAAATAAAATAGTTTTATACTTGGATCATATAACTTGCGCATTCAGCTGACTGACCGAGGGGATACAGAAACATTACCGGGGACCTTTCAGTAAGCATCAGCTTATGGTTCATATGAAGCGCCGGTGAATCGTTGCGCGTTTATATAACGTATTACGCTCTATGCGGTAACACACTGAAGATGTATAACATACAAAGCGTTTTATTACTGCTTCTCATAAAGTATCGCTTTAACATTTATTTCTTGAAATCATTGAGTTCACAATAATCAAATCGAGTAAATTGTTTACAATTGTTCAACGACAGTCTTTAATGTATTATCTAATGTGGTAGACAGTAAGACGACCTTACACATGCTGGTAAGAAGTCATTGTCTGTCTTATGACCTTTGCCCTTACTCTGAATTAGTCATACACTTTTAGTTACATGATTTCTGTTCATTATTATTTTTTTAGTTTCATTCATAGTATATCAGCAACAGTTTTATTCGATTAAACGATATGATCTGTAATACGAACAATTCAGCAATCTTCTTGATTGCTACTTGTTTCGGGTTTTGGGGGTAGTTCATTGAACCAATCGACTATTTCGTTCATGGGAGAGCTGATCACTTGGTTACACCACGCGATATCATGTCTACCTGTAATTAGCCTACCAATCGATTATCATTCCGTTATCTCGGACAACAATAATTTCTTCATACCACTATGCTAATTGAAAGAAGTTTCGTGGAGTCTATTTGAGGAGTATTGCTACAAAATAGGGGATCGATTGCCATACATTCAAAAGTATAGCTTGGTTGACTGTACGACTGACTATCATTTTCAGTTTGTGATAAGTTGCTTATTGCGGAAGTCCTACAAAAATGACTCATAGATGCTCTCAGTGAGGTGGCTATTGAGGTCGATAGCAGGCATTATTATTATACAACTGCAGACTACAGTTAATCCGTTTTGATTTCCGTCAGCCACATCTATTGTGTGAGAGCCAGTGACACTACCTGTCTACCCGAACCTCTGTAGATGGAGTGGGGCACGAACTTGTGACCCGTTGGCTGAAAGTTATCTCTCTAAACACATGAGCCACAACTATACACACAGTATAACATCCTGTTATACTATACACCTGTCCATCTTTCTGTACATATGCATAAAAGTTTCTCAACGATAATTTCTGTTTCAAAAGGGATTACGAGAATTCTGCTAAACTGTTATCTCTCATCACTATATATTCTTCATGGTCAGTTATGTGTACAAATATTCTCCATGATGCTTCCATTTCCCTTCATGTATGTATGTGTGTGCGTGTGTGTGACTTATTTTGAGATTATATCCAACTTGTAAAATGGAAGTTAAACGCAGCAGAAATGTAATTAATTATATCATGTGGTGTTATCGTTCGTCATATAGTTAACTTCGCAAGTTATAGATTTTTATGTGATAATAATGATTATCAAACAAGTGTCTTTTTCAGTACTGTCGTGTCGTATGTAATCGTTATTTAACTCACTATTTTATTATATACTCTCCTTTTACTACTTCTCATGCTTCTACTATGTGCTCTGCGATATGTTCTCTTCTTTATCAGTGTTAAAATACCAGTCAGCTGCAAGTAATGTTTTTTTACTAATATGTAATCTAAAATACGCTGTTTTCTTCTTAATGCATATGGTGAGATTTTGCAGAAAGCGACTGTTTGAAAAGGTGAATTCCCTTTTAAATATATAATCTCAGAAACTATGTTTACTTCCCTTTTCCTAGGAAGATGTTATTATTTAATGGCAACCAAGGTTTACACGCAATTAGCGGCCAAACGAATACCAGTTATAAAGTTACGTGTTGTAAACTTGCCGGGCTCAACTAGCTTAGGCAATCGAATAGTATCCCAAGTTTTTAAGTATTAAATGTGATGCATAGGTGAGTTTCGTGAACAATAAATTGGGTGGACCGTTGAACTCCGACCCAGTGGCTGAATGGTAATCTGCTGACTGTGAAACGTGACTATCTTGGGCTCCATCCTTCTCAAGGTCATGGGTTTGCAGCACTGAAGAGTCGTAAAGTGGAATTAAATCTTCTTCCAGTTCTCACAGGTTTACAGTGGTTCTCTAGGTGATACCCATCCGTGATAAAAATTTAATTGAAACCAGTAAATTCCCATAGACACTCGTTTGAACAAGTATGTTTACTAGGCTATAAACCATACTTTGTATCTGAGGATTTGTCATACGACTGGATTGTCCTAGTCGAAGTAGGTAGAGTGAATTGTGAACCCGAGAGCTGGTACTTGAAAGTCGAGTATTTTGATCAATAAACCATGTCTCCACATATGCCTTATTCAAAAATAAATTAAACCAGCTTGATAGTACTCAATGGGTCAATAGCATTCGTGGTAACTTTGACTCACTCTAATTAGCGATTCATTTTTAATGGAAAGCTTCTTCATCTATAGACGTTTAAAAAACTAGATATTCCCATTAACATCCGTCTTCCTATAATAAATGAGGCTGATAGCCTTGTGCATAATCATGTAGATGGTTGCTTAGTTGCAATTATAGTTTAACTATTGGAAGGATAAATTGGTTTATCATAAATAAAATACGCATTTCGACTGTTGAAAAGTAGTTCAATCCATTTGAGGAACATTCACTTTTATCCTGTCAAGATAATGATGTGAACTTTCTTCTTTCTCAAATCTGTATCGTAATTCATATACAGGATTTCTTCCCGATTTCAACTTTACTGATGTCTGAATACTTGCTCATATTAATTGTCTGGAATTTTTGTATACTGTAATTCAGGTGAACCACGTAAATTACTATCACTTTTTCCGTTATGTATAACCTGCTTCGGGTTTTTTTCTCAGTTTTAAGTGATTTATGCTAATTATAAGATTTTATCTGCATAATTGTATACCATCTTGTGTTCTGTTCCGTATTTTCTCAAGGTCCTACCTCAGAGAGTAAATCGGCCTATCAAACATCTGGAGGATTTCGCGAACGTCGTCATATCCGTGAACGTAACCCACCTGAAAGAATACTGTCTAGTAAATCATTTTCCACTGCCTCAGATGTAGAACGTCGTATATCAGATCATAGTAATTCATTGTACAGTGGACGATCCGAGTATTCACCTTCTGCATATTCAAATTCAAATAAATCCTTTAACACTACTGCTGCAACTGCTACTACTAACCAGAATGAAAATGATGTAAAAGGCATTATTCAAAGGGTAATTATTAGTAGATATCATCTCTTTGTTTAATATCGGAATACTTTAATCACTTCTGTTATCAATGAAAAAGGAAGTAACTTAGCTAACAGTAACATTTCTACCCCTTGGTATTAAAGGATTCTAGGTGGAGTCTTCAAAAGGATATTAGACTCTACTGAGATTGTTTATTCGGCAGGTATAGCAGCAAGATCAACATCCTGTCTACTGAAACCAACCAAACTAACTGCCAATACACTTTATCACAATGGAGTGTTTCGTAATTTACTTGTTTGATGTGTTTCAGTCAACATTAATTCGATTTCTACCTAATTATCAATTAGTCTACTTGATGCTGACCTACTGAGAGATGTCAACCATATCTGCGTTTCTGAGTGACACTAGTTTAAATACTTAATAATACTTCATTTTGGATTTTAAGCTTACGTCTTCTTAACGAGTGCCACAATGTGCGACACCCATGTCTAATTAGAGACATAAGGTAGGTGTAGTTTTATTCCGTATCAACATTCTAGGGGGAAAGGGGGGAAGCTTAATGTTACTAATCTGGTAATCATAACCTCGATAAGTGGAGCAAGGGGCTAACCCCATGACTCATGAGTTAGAACTCTAGTACTTAAACCAAAGTTCCATAATCTATAATTTGTTTCACTATGGTTTTACATAAAGGATGCTTGTAGGTCAAAAGTATAAATCAAGAAGCCGAAAGTTCATTTGACTTATGATATGTTCATAATGATCAATCGACCAGAAAAATATCAATCCCCTGTTAAATGAGATCAGTTTAGTAAATCTTTTGTACTCGATGCTCATACTTTCCGTTGAAAAACTGATGTATCAAGGGTGTTTATGCACAAGTAAGAACTGTGACCCTGGTCATGTGAGCAAGAAATTTTCAGCCATAAGTTTATTGAAAGGTTCAACTATTTCTCTGCTTTTATTATTATTATTTGACCCTTGTGTTCCTAGTGGAGCATAGAGCTTCAATACCACGTCAACATTTCACTCTCTTCTCTCCAGTCTTTTCAACCTATCTCCACCACTGCTCACAAGCTTTCATTCCTTCCTCACACCACCTCCTCCATGTCACCATCGGATCAGATGCCCAACTCATTGTTTCCCATGCACGTTGCATTCGACGACCTGGCCTGACCTGAGGCATGATGTCTACAAACCATTTTCTCAATGTATTCCCAATCCATCTGAACCTTCTTCTGCATATCCGCTGGACGATGGGTTCTTGTTTCGTTGGTTCGTTGCCAGCTAGCCAGCCAGCCAGCCAGAGTTACTTGTTGCTTATTCTTACTATTCTCGCCATCCGATCTTCAATGTCAGTATCGAGTGAGCGTAGACGGCAGCTGTTGATGATGTACGTGTGTAGTTTGTTGGAAATGCCTTCTCTCAACCATCACAAATGAGCACTGACTTACTTGACTGACAGTATTGAAAATCCGGATGTTGTTCACGTTTTATGCTGAGTTGAGTTGAGTTGAGTTGAGTGGAGTGGAGTAGATCTGCACACTGATTGATTTCAAGTTAATGAAGGCCTGTCTTGCTGTCTTTCCAATCGTGGTATCGACATGCTCATCTGAGCCTGTGCCGCCTGTAGTTGAAACGATGCTGCCCTACCTAGGTAGGTGAGAGAGACAACTTCGTTTAGATTTCTCCCGTTGATGATGATTGGTGCTTGTTGTTGGTTGGGTATCTTCATCACCTCTGTCTTCTCTACGTTCACCTGAAAGAAGTTCTGTCTTCCTTCGCTGCCCTGCCTCTTCTATCATCTTGTTGGTTTTTGCCTGTAGATCTTCGAGTTTGTGTGACAAGACATTGGAAATGAATCACCATCGTCGGTGAGATTCAAATCTTGATCTGGGGTCTTTTCATCGGTCCAGACAGCCAGCGTATGCCCCTCTTCTTGCTCCTCACAGTTGTCTGTTGTATGGTCCAGTCCAGTCCAGTCCACTTCAGTGTGGTGTAGTGTAGTGTAGTGTAGTGTAGTGCAGTGCAGTGCATTCGACCACAATCAGGAAGATGATGGGTGATAGTAGATGATCGCGTTGTCTTACTTCTTCCTGTCTTCACTTCAGAGTCGTCACTGAGCTGTCCACTGTGAATCAGTTGGCATGTAGCATCATATAGCATTGTATATAACTGTTGTTGAATGAGGTTTATAAAGATTTTTGGCACTAAAATCGTAGTTTTGAAGGAGGTGCCTGCCAAATTACTTCTCGTTCGACGCTGTGGAAGGCCTTTTCAAATTCGATGAAGTTGAGTTGAGTTGACTGCCATTCTATGCTCTGTTCTGTGATGATGCGTGGTGTAGCGTTGCGACTTCATCTGCATATGATTTGTTCTTCCTGAAGTCAGCCAGCCAGCCAGCCTGTTGTGGTCATAATTTTGAATGCAGAGCATCTTTTAGTCTCTCCAGGATGATGCTTGGGGTTTAGTGGAGGATGATTCCGTGCCAGTTCTTGCAAAGGCTTATGTCTCCCTTCTTTGGGAGTTAGACAAGTTAGCCCTTCTTCCCATCGGCAGGTGCCTTTCTTTCCTTCCAAAGCTTCTGCAGTATTGGTGTGAGCATGTCCGTTGCTGTTGTCTCTGCCTCTGTTTTCAGTGCTTTTGGTGGAATTCCATCTGTTCCTGCTGTTTTCCCGTATTTCATTAGTTTTATGGCATTCAGGAATTCTGCTTTTGTCGGAGAGCCTGTGTTCACTGATAGTTGTGTGACTGGATTGCAGGTGGTATTTCTGGATGAAGTGCAGGTGGTCGTGGTCGATTCAAGAGTTTTCTAAAATTGTCAACCCATATTTTCCTTTGTTTCTGCTGTTTGGTAATAAAGATTTTCTTCACTATCTTTCATTGGTTCATCTCTTCCTTTTCTTCAACTGTCTGTAATCATTCTCGGGAGTTTGAAAGTTCGTATGCTAACCATCATTTGTCGATTCCTCTTTACGCTTATGCACTTTCTCAGATTGTAGCATTTACTTTTTCGTCTAGCTTTTTGTTCTCTACAAATTTCTGCGTTGATTTTTGTGTGTGTATGTCCGGCGTGAGAACACCGGCTTTGAGACGCAGTTTTCTTCACACTTGCAGCATAAACTATGGATGTACATGCATTATTTGTTTTATTTGTGCTATTTCACGAATATAGTCGGTTAAATTTATCTTATGCAGCCTGAAAACCATAAGGTTTACCTGTATTACAACGATTCAGTAGTATCATAAACTATAACACCATAGATTTAACTTATGGCCCTGTTCACTGACATCTCTTCTTGGTTTCTAATTTGCTTTATTATTTATTAACGTGAGTTTATCGATAATTTGCTTGAAACTGCAGGTGATGTCGTTTACTAACGTAAGTTGGATTGGTTGGAGTTATCCGGATTTCTTTTCTTTCTGATATTAAGGATTACATCAACTATTGAAACTCTTGATGTTTCTAACCCACATCAGAAGCATGATCTGAATCCAGATGAGCAATTCAATAGTCCTGTGTACATCATCTGTTTGAGTTTATGCTTGCGAAACAGAAGGAAGTCACCATACATTGTGAAGACAATGATTCTTCTTAGTTGGTTATATAGGCAGTCGACAAAAAACCTCAAAGCAACTAACGTCTCTCAATGTGCACCTCAATACTAAGCGTCCTACCTTGGTGGACACATTGCAGAATGATGGATATAATTCGGTCAGTACTCAGGACTAGACAGCTTTAAATTGGTTGCTCTCCCTCTGCTATTCAATAAATGATTCTTCTGGTACGCTTTAGAAGTAGTTTGTGACGTGTACAGTGTTGAGATAAATAGTTCACACTATTTGACGCACGACGGTATTGTTCTGTTCGTTGTTTTCTTATTTCTTGCTTCTTTTTTAGCTCATTTTGCCTATATTTTTCTTTTTACGGTTTGGAACTGTGACAGTATAAATTGATTACCCATTATGTAGAAAGAAAGACATCAACGTAGATCCAGGCACATAAGGGTATCCTTTGAAGTTGCAACACTTCACAGCGAAACACAAACAAGAAGTGGATAGAAACGAGTGGCAACAGCTAACAGAAGTTGATGAAATATTTAAAACTTCAAAGGTAATAAAAGGGTCCAGATATCTACATCATTGTGAATGATTTCGACTTAGATCGCCAAAAGTCTCCAACCACTGATTCCTATAATCTATAAAACATCGACCAGGTAGCTCACTTTGCTACATGGCTCGGACCAAGAATCAGGAACTTCGTGCATTTGTGAAACGTCTTGGTCGGTCTACTCTCAAGTCTTATTTGACTAACATCACATATAAAGGTAGGGTGTGACTGGGCATACGTAACTCATATACAAGCCATCTTATTTGATGAAGGTTCACAACGTCATTGACAAAGTTGCCTTCTTTGTCTCATACTCTGGGCCTAACTTCGACATTGCTCAAACAGTGATTCGACCACTTGCAAGCAATACTAAATAAAACCTGTAATCCCTTTGTATCTTGTACTTTCAAGCGCCATATATTTGCCGTAATGGTTCCATACTGTTCGAGATATTCAACTTTCTAACAGTATTGCAGTGTAACCTAGCGACCAAGTACCAGCGTACATTTGTAATCAACTGTAAACCGCACTTATTTTGTGGTACTGCCTGGCTGCGCTTAACACAGTCATGTGGGGTGTATTTCAATGCTAAAACTCATTGTCTTAACTTCGAATGTTTTCACCAGCTCTAGATGATATTGTTGGCCACTGGTAACGTGACAGTACTTTTTATATTTCAACTTTAGTCAATACAGAGAAGTCAAATAATCACACTGATTAGCAACTGGAGAGTAACCAGCTTCATATTTTCTAGTCGTAGGTGCTGACCGAATTCTATGGATCATTCTTCGATGTGGCCACCAGACTAGGGAACGAACCATCTCAGTGCACTCCGATCGACATTAGTTGGATGGAGACAATCAACAGCATGCCTTGGATCTAGGTTTCGTTTTTTTGGCGTTCATCAGGAAGGCGTGTCTGCGACCTCGATGGAACTTATGTTCTGTCTGGGACTCGAACCCGCGTCACCCAGTGCCGTTACCAGAGTCCTAAACACTGAGCTATTCGGGCCATGATTGACCTCTTGTAAGATTGGATGAAGTACATTGCTTAGTCATTGGGGAGTAATCAACTTCATGCTGTTTAGTCAGAGAATCTCTTGATATCCACTTCGACACAGTATGATGACAAGGATGTAAGACGGTAGTGATGCAAGCGTGAGTGGTGGTAATTGTTTTCCACTATTATTAGATTTTATAGCGTAATAGTTTTAGCCACAGAGCGAATGTTTGTAAAAGTTAAACGGAAAAAACTGCAATACGTATAAAGTCGACATGAAACTTATGTAGGTTTAGATTAATCTTTGCAGAATTTAAAGTTATAATTTTCTCGATAAGGATGTCTTATGTGAGATCATATTGTTGATTTATAGAATTCTTAAGGACTAACAAGTTATGCAAATAATTGAGAAAGGGAAAGAAATTTACAAATCTTATTTTCAAGTACTCTATTGAAATTATAACCTCTTCTTTAAAGAAGTGATTTTGAAGGACTGTTCTTTTAGTACTTCTTTACAAATTACAAACGAGGCTGTGATTGACATTCAGTTGTAACTTCAAAATGTTTTATGAAAATTATGCGATGGAGGTGTCTTCTTATTTCACAAAATGCTTTTGTAAACATTTGAAATAAAAGAATGTAAATGCAACCTATAACTTGGCGGAAAGGCTTACAAATTATTGCTAAATTTTACACCTTGTGTTATTCACCCAGCATGTTTGAGTACTCTCTGCACGCGCTTGTTTTTTTTCTTGGAATCATCAGATCAAGGCTCCATAATATGTCCTCATAGATTCGAAATCGCTATTGCAAATTCTTCGTGTACTTTGAACGAAATAAGTCAACCATTCAAGCAAACCAATTGTGTAAGCGTATCGGTTGACATCAGTAGTTGGAAATCACTCTAACCAGTTGACAGTGTTATTTGTTATTCACATCGAGGACATCTAAACATGGAATAGTTTGTTACCGTGCTTATCAGAGATGCATTCATGTCATTTGATTTGATTTGTTCGGAATAAAAACCAAGGCAACTGTCGTCTGTAAGATTTTTAGTTCCAGGTAAGAATGACACATTGAAGTGTAACTAGCTAACTCAACTAACTGACTAGTTTTCCAGTAATACGGAGAATTTAGCTGCTTGAACTGCATCGATCCAGATACATTGCTGATAAAATTGTCTCGAAACGAATGAGACTGTCTACCGATGAAGATCACCTCAGTCTAGCTCCAACACTAATTGATCTTAGTGGATCCTAACTATTCATATCGATCAGCAGTACACATAATGCAAATCTTACTTTCTTGACATCATTGTTAGTCTCAAAATTTGTGATCTGAACACTTCTCTTTCCAATAGAATCCATCCAAAAATTGAGTTGCACATGTTTGTGTCATTCTCTTTATACCATAAGAGTCCTGCAAACACTTGCTTGTCTGGTAGTTTGAATTTTATCTCCATACTTCTAATGATAGGAACATCAGTTGGAATAGAATTGTCATGATTAATTACGAGTTACTTGAAATGTATGCAGTTCCCTTTCCCGTTAACTTGACATTATTTCTCGTTAGTACTTGGAAGCGTCCCGGATAAAATAAAAATATTTTCAAGAGAGGTATATATATATATATATATATATATATATATATATATATATATATATATATATATATATGTTCAGTTCTGGAATCACCATCATCTCTTGTGATTTGTATTGGTATTCAGCAATTTAACAACCATACTGTTCAGCTATCATCATATTACTAAAGTTTACCTTGTGGTGGTGACGTTTATGATTGATTCAACTCCATGTGACCTATAAATGAGCCCAGCTAGTTTTACCTTGGAATTTATGATGCAACAATCACATATATTGTTTACAGTTTATATATATATATATATATATATATATATATATATATATATATATGAAACAAAATATATGTATAAGTTCATAGTGAAGTGAAAAGTAAATACAAAAAAAGTACAGTTTTAGGCGGTAACCTTCATCCCCCTTAACTTTCAAGTAAACCTATATGTTTTACTTTTTTCGTTCTTCTTCTTTTTTCGCCTTTTTCTTCTATTCTTCCACTTTCTTATCAATTTGAATTAAATTTTTCTCATAAGCAGATAGAATTATGTGGATGGATGGTAAGTAGGTAGGTGAAACCATGTGGGTGAGATAAAACACTAATCTATCATTATGTATTTGGCTAGGGTGTTTATATAATCGTCTTCTTCAATGTCTTTTACAACTTTTTTTTCTCTCAACCACTTATATTTGTGTCTTTTGAAGTGGATTTGATGAAAACTGAACTCATTGAAAAAAGTCGTAGGGATTTTTGTTATTATCACAATTTTCATAGGTTTTAATTTTGGGTTGAGATAATGAAACGGTGAGTTATGAGAGTGTGTTTTAGACTCAATATTAGTCTTGCAGATGTATCCACATATTATTTTAGTCGTCATATCATATTTTGTTGCCTTTTCACCCCGACGGATAGCCGCTACATTGACGTGGTGATCGGACTTGCATTTCATAATTACTTAACGAGCGATACTAATGAAGCACTTGTTACCTCGAGATTCTACCATACCATAAAGATCTGTTGGATAGTGGTTAGACAAAAAGCAGTTACCGTTATAGTGTGAAGTTTCACGCTTTGACGGGGTTCTGAGGGCGAAGTTGTACTACTGGCTGGAGGGGAGTGTGACAGGAGTAAGGTGTTACCTTTAGATGACCAGCAGATTCACGCTGATGCTCCCTCCTCTATGGGAAAGGGATGGGTAGAAAAGGTCGGCCACAAAAATAGCATACTTCAATTTCCGCAGTATGCCGGTGCCTGCAACAGGAATTCATATTCGGGTTAGAAATCAAAATACTAAAGTTTCAGACTTGCCAAAAGGCCGTATGTGACCGATCTGAAGCATATGTTCCTTGGGCTCCCCGGTCACGCACCATATCTTTATCAGGTACTTCAAGAAGAAATACCTTTCTATGGCGTGGGAAGCCGGTAAGTATCAACCACTCTCACGCTTCCAGTAGTACACTCTTTTTTCCCCTTTTCCTCTCTTCTTATGACAAGTTGCAACTTTTGATTACTTTTCTGGAAAGTATTTCTGTATTATTCATCGTGCTAGCTTGTGTTTTGAAGTACTGATGTCAGGTGTAGCAACTTAAACCCTACACAGTAATTCTTATTCTCATGTTGATATTGACGAAGTCGTGGGATCACAAACCTTGTCTAATCTGATTTGGGTTTAACCGAAGGGAATTATTTAACCTTACATTTGCAATAGGTTTGATCCACATTTTAATTGCTAGTCTTACTTAGATACTGGATTATATCGTTGTCATTATTCATTTTGATTGGCTGTTGTACATTTCCAATTGTATCACATTGTTGTAATAGCTATCTGAAACAAACTTCGTGTGCTTGGACAACGGCTATGACTATAAACAGATAGCCAGATATCACATGATGTGTGGTTGATAACCTCGGTGATTGAAATGAAATGAAGACCTGGTCAGTAGTTTGATCTTGGATTTCGGTTTGCAGAGCACTCGGCTGGCAACCTTTGAGGTTATTAATTGCAACTTTGCTGTGACTCAGGTGTTCGTCTAAACTTCACTTATCACGTGATCTCATTATTATATCCTGAATAAAACTGTTTTCATTAGTCTTTGTTAACAGACTGACCTTAGTGTTAGGTGTTGATTCAATTGAAAGGAAGTCGTGGGTCGCAGCAGTCCTCTAGCCAGCAGTGTCTGGCTTTGGTAATCCTGGCGCTAAGCCGTTGAAGTTACAAGACGCGACTTCTAACCTGGTTCCAGTTTGTTTCGATGGTTTCGTCTCTGACTCAGTTGTCACTCCACTATAATATTGTTTTCACAAAGCACAAAAAAAGCGGTTACTTTCTAAAAGTTTATAAGCTTATATAGTTGCAGTTTGTTTTGTGATACTTGGTTTTCGTGCCTAGCCTATTTTACTCCCCATCTTTCACAGAAAGAAAAAAGCACAACTCACTTTCTTTTGAATATTGCCTTTGAATCTGTTTCGCTAAGTGATGTTTGGTCAGCTTCAGTTAATTGTTTTCTATTCCACCTCGATTTACCGAGTCATTATCATATTGATATTTGAAGAATGTTTTTTCGGAGATTGACATCAATTCCATACTACATATGCGATGAAAACGGCAGTTTTCAGTTATCAAAGACAGCCTATCACTATTCACTCAAATATCAAGTAAAATCGTTGGAATTTTTGTCTACGGCTAAATCTGTGTGATTTGCAACGCAACTGTGTTCTATGTTTGACTCCTTCTGAAAACGTTCTAATAATGTTGTTCATTTTTCTAATATATTTAAAAATATAGCCTACAAGCAGATTCTTGCACCATCAAATGCAATCAGTTGCTTCAAACGTTAATTCGTCATATCCCACTTATTCATGGAATCCATCATCACAAATTTCTACTAACACCACCAATAATAATAACGGCAACAGTACTGTCACTAGTAGCATAAACAATACGCGTTCTGCTGTTACTGCTACAGCCAATAATCACAGTAACAGTACAGATTATTATTCATCTATCACAACGACTCCTCGTGATCAGGTCTCACAATGGCATGATGTGAGTTTTAATACTTGATTTACATATTTTTGTTAGTTTTTTTTCAATGATGTCATTGTGACACATGTCTATTCGTTGGGTGTAGTGATCAACCACGGGTGGCATTATGTATCTGTGAGACATTTAGTGCCTTTTTCTAGTACAGTGGTTTTGTCAAACAGTATTTTTATACCTAATGTATTTTTTTAGTGGTTACTAGCGTATTTCTCTTCATCGACAGATAGATAGATGCAATTTAGAGATTTGTTTATTGACTTCAGGTTGATGTTCATCGTGGACTGACACCAGTTGGAGAAATATTGGAAACCTTGAAGCACCGGACAGCTGTTTCGTTCTAGTATGTGGTTTCTCAGCAGTGCGCATCCATGACTCCGTCAGCGATCACATCCAGGACCCTTAGATTCCTTGGCCAGCATGTTGGTATTGAACCACTGGGTCGGAATCCAATGGACCATATTTCCTACTTCCATCAGTTCACGATATAGCGTGACCTTCAACCAATGCTGTTATGGAGTAACTGTCCTCATCTTCGAGTTCGCTGGTTGCAGAACCTGAAGGTCCTGCATTTGACCTCTGGCGGGGTCATGGGTGCGCACTGCTGGTGAGTCCCGAGCCGGGACGAAGCAACTGTCTGGTGCTCCCAGGTTTCTAATGTTTCTCTAATTGATGTCAGTCCATAATGATAACCAACGTGAGATGGGTAGATAGATACTGTTCACCAAAATATTGACAGTATTCTATGTGGTCTTATACTTTTGTTGATTTTATTACTATACTTAAATGTACTCATTTCTTAAAACCATTTCGAAATTTCTTAGACCGTTAATAATCTTGATTCGTTTGTTCTCTTTCTGTTTCTATCTCATTATGTCCTATTTTATTCAACTATGTTTTCTATTTCGTTCATCTCCTCTCATGTGATGATGATTTGACTCATTGATCTAAGTAAAAAACCTTCAAACAGTAGGTCCGTGGTTTGAATTCTACTACACCTACTTTGGCTTGGATAACCATTAACCTTCACACAATAGACGTGGCTCATTGCCTACTGCACGAAGGTGCATAAGGTTGTTGTGTGCATTTCAGTTTTCGGTTCTTATTCGAATGGGCATTATATAACAAGTTTAATACCAAAGCACAACTATGTTCTGGTGTATAGAAATCAAATGTAGTTGTGGAATATAGAGGAGACGCACGTTTGCAAAGCGTTTCTCGTGTATGGTGTAGCCAGCAGCTGATTATCCAGACTCATATCACTTATGAAGCATTCATTTCCCCAAGATTACAAATGCACCTTTTTGATTGATGCATATAAACAGATATGAAACCTAGGTCAAGCAAGATTTTTGTGTCCATGAAAATAGTAATGGATTCTAATATATTCAGTATGTCTACCCTTTTCCCTTTGAAAAACTACTCTTTCATTGTATAGTTGACTGTTTCTGACTGATAGCTACTTAAGTTGTTTAGGGTCCGTTCCTTTTGCAAATTGATGCTTCAGAACTTGTCTATGCTAATATGTCATATGACAGTATGGAATAAAATGATTGAGCACATTTACTATTTGACTTACTCTAGAAGTCAGATTATCCTTATTTGGTTGCCGGACAAATATTGTTATAGATATTAAAAGTTCTGTTGGTTTTGAATAACGTTCTCCACTTATATTCTATTGCCTACTAAAGGTTGAATTTACTTTGCAGCAGTTTTCTCTGTTCTACTATTTGACCGTGAATCACTACATTAAGGGTGGAGAATGTGAAAGTGAGGCCAGCAAGTTTTATTGACTGAGGTGACTCCTTCGTGTGCATACATGTCTAACCACCATCTGCTCAGATATGACACGTTAACTGAAGGAATTTCAAGCTAGAAAGAGGTCAAAGATGGCTGTACTAACAAGTGACATTAGTCCATGAAATTTCTAACTATCGATCAAGGCCGTGTTCTATGTACACTTTTAGGTTGAGGTTTGTCCGACAACCGAAATAGATAATTGAAGATTCTATGTAATACGGCTGAGAATTGACCTCACTGATGAAAATGCACTCTCTCTCTCTATTTATTTATTTATTTATCTACCTTTATCATAATCATTATTTACTATTTTTTTGTCCGGCTTGTTTCTCATTTTATGACTTCTTTCGGCTTCTATCATTCCTGTATGTTTTTTTTCCGCGCTGCTTGATATAATGATGTCAGGCGTGGTAACATAAACGGTTACTTGGTAATGTCAGGTCCTGTGTTGATATTGACCCACTGAATCCTTGGTTTAGTTGGTGTGTTGAAACTAAACCTACCTGGTATATTTCAGAAAGGTTTTTTTTTATCAGAACTCTTACATTGGAATATACTTGTGTTATTCACTTATTGATTTCACAACCGGTTTACTTTTCAGAGTTTTTTTCGCGATAATTTTTAAACTGTGCACACTTTTTTTAACAGTATATTACTTCACTACAATATGTATGATAGTTGTCATTGGTAACTGCTACTGTAATTCATAGTGTACTTTGTACACTTGGATTGTTTTGTTGGTTTATTCATCAGTGCACTACTACTATTGCAACATACTTTTCTTATACCTCAGACAGTAGCTATTCAATAATATGGTACGAAATCCTAATGCATTGGTTTTTAAATAAATTTGTGCAGTTTGAACTCAACACTTACAGCAGATGTTAGTTGGGTTTCTTGGCCTAGTGTGTAGCGGTTGCTCACTAATGTAACCTAGTCAGAGGTTTTAGGCTTCTGTATATTGCGGTTTTAGTAGATTTCGGTTGATTGCCTGTCCTAATGAATGAAGCTTTATGTGGTTGATCTCTTGTACATTTTCTTTATTGTATCGCTGTACTGTTTCCCTTAGGAATGAGGAATACATTATCTGAAAGTTTGACAGTCTTCTTACCTCCACAACAATTATGCTGGATTTCTTTGTAAAAAATAGCAAGCTGTAATTTATATATAGTAATGATGGATAGTGGCTAGCAGTGGAATCCAGGATGCACATTGCGTTTTATTCGGGACTCGTCAGCCGGATGTACTTGCATCCCAGTGAGTGATGTTGTTCCCACCGGTTTCCACGCAATAACATTGTAATTTATACAGTAGTTTCAGAAATCTACTTAATGCCATCCTACTTGATGTCTAGCTCCGTCTTGTAAAATCTTTACAAACTAAGTTTGCTTGGTCACGTAACAGAGAACTAACTTTACTTAGGGAGTCGTTTAATTTTACATTGCTTATGTTCACACTTTTAATTGAGCTCATGAATGGTGAAATCACCATGTGAGCAGTAGTGAGGTTAGGTGAAGGGTACTAGACGAGACAGGTAAGTCAGTCGATGAGGTTGTGAACTCTCACCAACTGAGATGGCTTGGAAATGTGCTGCGCATCTGAAGTCACTGCCTACCTCAACGTATAATATCAGCCGTAAAGGGATTGGTTTAGAAGAAGGGTTAGGGTGGCTAGATTAAGACATGGCACCAGCCCATTAAGTCCCTGACTTGGTTTGAGCCCTGGGAGGAAAGTGTAGAGTACCTTAGCTGGAGTCTCCGAGAATATAGGAATCAGTAGTTGAGGACTCTTGGTGGTATGGCTGGAAGTCGGTCGAAACAGTGCAGATGTATCCACCCTTTGATGTTTTGTAAAGCTTGAATACTTGCACTCACTGCTCTCTTCAAATTGCTTATTCTGTCACACAACCTTGTCTACTTTGATATCAATCTTTTTCTATCCTTTTGTTCATTGTATACTACTATGAAGTGTGTCAACTTGAAGGGATACGGGGTCCAACGTTGATCTCGTCTGTTTGTCTATCTGAGCCACCAAGTCGGTTTGACCTTTTAGACTGCTATGCGAAAATAAACATGCAAGACAAAAGAGTAATAGTAAATTAATGAAAGTCAACAGTGATCAATTTATTAGTTTTATCTACATTTTCCAACTAATGATCCCTTATTCTTCTGAGACTACAGTCAAATTGTATACTTCTCTTAACATTGGCTTAGGTCAGCAGTGTATGCTTCTATAAGAATCCTACTAAACTAGTAGTAAAAGCATCGATTTCAACTTATTACTTCTCACAAAAAAGGATTAGTCCTTCTTCAAAACGAACTTATCCAATGAAAGAAGGAGGGCATAAAATATTTTGTTTTACTTAAATCATTAACATTCGTAATTGACTCCTTTTGAAAAAGTTGAATATGTTAGGATGATTATTTGTGGAGATGACAATTCTAGTCGTTGAAATAGTCGTTTCATATGCTGTCACATTGAAGTAATGAACTTTTGATTGATGAAATAATTCACACATCTGCAAAAACCCTAAGGTGCTCAAACCAAGTTGTCACATTACCAAATCGAAAAAAACATAGGAGTATACAAAAAGCTGTAATAAATTTGAATAGGTATTCTCACCCTAGATGCATGAAGAGTAATGTAATCCTTCTAATGTTAATTATTACATCATTACACAGTTTATGTAAGTGTGTTCTTATTCTTTTAAGGTGTTATTATTTCGACAGCATTGTTTTTGAAAAACAACAACATAAGTTATAAGAATAACATGGTTCAAGCTGTTAGTGTGTAGTATTCGCCCCATAGCTCATCAACTAGTTTTACTTGTGAATAGCAGTCACATAACTTCATGAACGTTTTCACCACAGACTAACATCAGTTAGAGCAACCATTAGAAACCATGAAGCACTGTAAAACATTTTCTTGTTTTTAGTTTTCTCAACTGTACACCTCATTTCTAAGACATTCAAGTCTCATGATGTACACGTTCATTTCTGTTATTACGTTGAAATTCAATAATCCACACTTTTTTCACTCTTATCTTAGTTAACCCCGATGTCTAACACTTTTCATATTCACTTCACTTTTCCACCAACCCATATCAACCCATAAATCAATTACTTTCCCCACAAACCATCTAATAGAACTGCACATTTAGTACTGGATTCGAGCTCTACTCCAAGGTTTGGGTAATTGGGTAGTATTTTCTTGCATAAAATATATGGGTCATTGACTAGTTCACAAAATTGTCTTCCATCCCTTGGTTACATTCCATTTCATATGATTAAGAAAGAGTTTAAGACTGATTAACAAAAGACTCTCTCCATGCCTTTTTATTTAGTTTCCTTCGGCTGAAATATCATTCAGTGAAGAATAATATTTTATCACTCTATGTAATGTATCAAATTAATAGATTTTAGTGTAGTTCTCTGCTTATTTTAGAATTTCATCTTTGTAGAAGGGGACACCTTTTAAATAAACTTTTTCAGATGGAAAAGCTCTGCTTGTCTACCTTTTGCTTAAGCCCTAGATGATATCAGTAGATGTTATACAACATGTAAAGCTCACAGATTCTTAGTAGTGTTGAACGGTTTGATAGATAGTTAAAACAATGGGAGGTCAATCATTCGATCATTGGTTTGAAGCTCACTCTATGCATTCAGCTTTATGCATTTGATAGTTTCCTTGTCTAGTTCACATGTGTGTATAAAATTATTGTATTGTAACTATATTTTAGTCGTTCAGATTTTGGCACACCCATTTGTTTGTTTTTCTTTTTGAAAGAAAATAGATTAACACAATTTTACTTTATAATCCTCTTATATGATTTCATGAGGTTTAAGTTTTTAAAATAGCTTGGATATAATTAATCTCTCATTGTATTACATTACTGGATTGAATTGAAATTTAGGATAGATATTGTGTTGACCACATTACAAAAATGATCGACAGAATTCAATCAGCATACAGGACTAGACCAAGATGAAATTGATTACTCTCCTATGACCTATCTTTGTATTCTGTTCTACTTTAAAGAACTGATCAGTACATGTGTACCAGAAAATGTTGACATTTAATCTTTAATCCAATTCATAGCAAACAATAATCTATTCTTTTTACTTTTATACATCACAAAATAATCTCGGTTTTTTTGGCTCCTTTTCTTCATCTCTTCGTCTCTGCAAACTAGTCCAAAGATTATAAACGCCTCTATGAAAAAGAAAAAGAAGAAAAAGAAAGGCTTCAACGTGAATTGGATAGATGTAATCGTCAAATTAGTCATTTACGCAGTGAACAACCAGTATCTCTACGAAATTCAAATGATCATGGATACTCAAATTCAGATCTACCCAATAATAACAGTTATAGTAATACTAGTTCACAAATCCCAGATAATGTAAGTGCATACCTTTTTTTCTGTATTATTTTAAGGGGTGGAATTGAATTGGCTGTTGTCTGATTGGTTGACTTTCGATCAGTCATCTGACTCCAAACAATCAGTTGTTTCTCGATCATCTATTCAATACTTCTTGATTCTAGGCCACAACAGTTCGACAACACTGAATGTTACTTCGCCTGAATAGATCGAATTCCTTGGAAGTGCTATCTAGAGGATGAAAGTTGTGTATAATTTGTGGCTTGATGCAAATGCTACTGTTGAAGAGTTGATCATATGCTGCATTAAGTTATGAAGTTGATATATATTCCATAGTGATGGTCGGACAATAAAGTGCTCACCATCATACCTGGTGGTTACAATGTAAATTTTTATTCAGTAATAAAAGTGCTCTCTGCCAAGGACGATAATCTACCAATTTAAGAGGAATTGAATGTTCAGTACTCACTCTAATATACATTTGTCCTTCAGCTAATTTCAATTTGAAAGTGGTTTTCTTCACGGTTTCATATCATATAGAGAACTACTGAAAATCTGAAGGCTTTGAATAGTTGTCTCATCATGGTTTGGGACTTCTCAGCAGTGTGCATGGGAGATCGAATGCAGGACTATTGAGTTTTGTGCCGAGCGGTTCACCATTCAGCCGTTGTGTTTGCGTTCAATTATTTACCTTTTTTTCCAACTTCTCTACAGTACTGAGACTGATCCATATTTGTTTTTCAGCTAATGTATAATTCACAGTGTAAATTATGACATTTTAACTCATTGTTTAAGATACTCAACTTTCAATCAATCAATAAGTAACAGATTGTCACCTTAATTCACCTTCTAAGGTTTGGGCTATTAGTATGATCCTTACCGTTCACACAATAGGTATGATGCGTAATCAGTAGTCCATTAACCTAACTAACAGTAATCAGTCAAAATCCTAGTCAATGATTTTGATTGGTGTGAGTTTGATAATGATTGAATAATTAGTGACATATAGATAAGACATATAAGTTTCACAGTTCTAAAGTTTTTTCTCACAAATAAACCTTAACTTACTAATGTTAGTATTACTTTTATATCTTTGATGGTTCTGAAGCAGTTTTCGTTTACTTCAAGCATAAATGTTCTAAGAAAATGCATATTTCAGAAATTAGCATAAATAAATTTACACGATGACTATCATTGTCATCGAATACATACTAGTTTAATACCACTGATAAACTGAAAGTCGAAATCAACTTAACAACTTTGTACACATTTTTGCAGTAGGCTATAAATACACCTGTTGTGTGAAGGCTAATGACAACATATGGCTGTCGAGACCTCGTTAAGTGGGAGTGGTGCTGGAACCCTTGAAACACTTTCTTAAAACCAATAACCCACAACTCTAGCAGTGTTTATAAGTGACATTTTTGAGGTGATTATTTATTCAATATAGATTATCGGATATCTTATGTTTTGATTCATGATTATGGTTATGATGGTGAATGATTCTTGTATCTACAATTCACTTATCTATATTTTAAGTTCAAATTGATGTACTCATGTTATTCAAATATTGTTCGTTTTACACATTTGTATCACTTCCATTTGAGTATAATTGATATGAAAAACTTTCCACAATATGCTTACATGTAACAAGCTTTTTGACCCAGTTTACAAATACTTTGAGTTGCAGTACATTTTTTAAATATTTATGTGATGGTCAATGATGCTTTGATCATTAAGTGGATTGTATTCACATTTTTGTTTTACACATATAATCAGCATACTTTAATTCTTAGCTTCACCTCATGCGTATACATATGTGTTATTCTATGGTCAAAAAGTCTGTTGTCCTTATATATCTACAAATCGGTCACTGGGTATAGATAGTCAATGTAGCTGCTTAGATCTGAGTGCTTAGCACCAACTAAAGTCTATCAATCAAGTTTGCAGTGTGGTTAAGTGATGCCATACTTGGTGTAGTGTATTTTGGATGTTAGTGGTCAATCAGTGGGTAGCCCAGTTCGACCTAGATTTCATGCTTGTTTACACTTATTATCAATATGTATCTGCAACCGTGGTGTGATAAAGTATCTGACTTCAGCATTGAGAGTGATGCAGGCTTGAGTCATCACAGCATCAGTTTCCTCATTCTTACGAATACATTTTACTGATGAACACCAGCAATAAATCACTGAAATAATTATCGTTCTCTATCTCGATAGCTTGTATTCTTTACTTATTCTCCACTGTTTCGGCATTTTTAATACTGCATTCCTGTTTAGTTAGAGAAATAACTTCAACTTCCCTGTTTCTGGTATCGATGAATGTATCCATGATGAATTTGACCGTATACAACTTAGTTGTTGGTGTGCCAACATTATATATATATATATATATATATATATATATATATATATATATATATATATCCCTCTTTAGTTAACTGATGGTGTTTTTTAATGACAACGAAATGCACCATACAAAATATGCTGGATATCGCCATATATAAGAAGGTCATGTTCTCCTAAACGTTGAACACTAAACACTACTTGCTTAATTAAATCACTTGATGTGCACACAAACAAACCTGTTCTAATCATATGATGTAACACCCCAATCATCTATGTATGCATGTTAAAATATTGCTCTTCATTGTCTTTGATTGGTCAAATTTTTAATCTCATACCTTTGATATGTTGATTTAGTTACCGTTATGGATGATTACGATGATCACTGATATAGAATTGTTTTGTTTTAAAATAATTTCACATCCTGAGTCAGGAGAAGTTAAATGATGACATGACTATCGTGTTTACTTCTGCACACATCACATGTATGAAGTTGAAATCTGCATGCATATTATCTTTAATCTCATCAAATCTAGTATTCATTAAAAGTTCCTATTTATTCTTAGTTTCCTGAAGTATAACTGGCTATTAAAGTTGGGATATACATCACTTTGTTTGATGGAGCTATCTTCTCTGTCTGTTATATTTGCTAAGAACAATATGGAGATTAGGGTGGGGTTTGGGAAATGTGTCATACGAGTTCACCCCACCATCTATCGTACTGCCATGTACAGCGCTAACTCAGTATGATTAACTTGGAAAATATTGTAATAATGATCGCACTTAGTTATTTTATCCTTCGTTTCATGATGTCTCTAAATGTTTTGTGAGCTATGTAAGCCATCTTAGACCTACGGGTTGAGTTCCACAAAACAACCAAGATGTATGATCTCTGACCCTAGGTGACGTCGATCAAAATAGATCCAAGTGATGCAGATGTTGGCCCGTCCTATTTTTTTGTAAATTGTAATATATACGTACATTCTCTTTATCTCCTCTTTTCTTTGTCTCACAAACTTTTACGTCCATATTTTTATCCCTTCATCTTTCTATGCGTTAATTTATTTGTTAATATGAAGTATGACAACTTCAAAATATATGCAGTTATTCTTTATCCGTCTGTCCACTTAAAAAAATTTGTCTTTTGTTAACGTACTTGAATATTGACTAGTGTTGAACAAATTTTCAAGGTGTTCTACAAAACAGATCATTTTAAGATCCCTTTTTCATAACTATCTTATTGAAGGAAATGTATCATCATCATCAATATCAACATAGGACCAGGCATTACTGCGTAACGGTCCGAGTTGCCACACCTCATATCAGTACATCAAGTAAAAGGGTAGTGAAGATCAAGATGAAGATAAGAGAATGCAGTCAAAAGAAATATTGAGTACGAGAAGAAAGAAAAGAAGAATGACAAAATGGTGAGGATCGGTAGTGTTAAAATGAGGATAATATGTGTATACATCTGCACCACTGACATCGGTTCTGAGCCATATCCCTTAGAGTCTCCATCCACTGGTTCCTCTTGTCCCGCGGACCCCAACCAGCTAGTCTGCATCGCCCCACATGGCTCAAACCAACAGTCAGAGACTTCATACGTTGGTGCCATGTTTTAGTCTGGCCACCTCGGGTCTTTTTCCAGCCTGTACCTACTTCGGCCAACATTGTGTGACGAGGCAATCGGCGACTAGGGATACGTGATACGTGTCCCAACCATCTCAGTTGATGAGGGTTCACAACTGTATCAATTGACTTATCTCTCCTCCCTGAAACTGTATACCTGACTTGTGCATTACTCACGTGGTGACACCACGGAATACGGCCTATACTACGAAGGCAACAGTGGTCAAACACTTGAAGCCTTCTCATGTCTTCCACCTTGAATGGCCATGTTTCACAGGCATAGGATAGAACAGAGCGGACTGCTGTGCAGTACACGCGACCCTTAATAGACAACCGGATATCACGGCGGCGCCATAGGTGGCACAAATTGGCAAAAGCCAATCGAGCCTTTTGTATGTATGCAGAGATTTCATCGGTCACTGAGCCAGCCCAGGGTAGGGCTGATTTTACTTCTTAGGTAAGTGAAGTGGTCGAAACACTCAACCACTTCACTCTCTACTGTTAGCTGCGGCACCCTTGAAGACCAGTCCTGGAGCAACAATTTGCACTTGGGTGGTGAAAACCGCATCCCAAACATTCTCAAATTCCCACTCAAAGTGTTCAGAAGACTCTGCATCTTGTCAGCGTCTTCACCTAACAGGACTATGTCATCTGCATATTCTAGATCTAACGAAAATTCACCTGTGATTGGGTCAACGTCTGTGTAATTAGGTGACGAGAGGGAGAACCTCCATAAGAATATCTATGATAAAATTAAATAAGAATGGGGATAGTGGGCATCCTTGACGGACACCACTTGATGAGTATAGCTCCCTGGACAACTCACCATAGGCTCTAACATGCCCACAAGTGTTCGAGTAGAGAGCTTTCAATAAGGTGATGTACTTACTAGGCACGCCTTTCAGTGACAGACATTGCCATAAGACTTCTCGATCAACGGAGTCAAATGCCGCCTTCAGGTCGAGAAATACAGCTATTGTAAGCATGCCTATGTTCCAGGACCTGGCGCAGTGTGAATATTTGGTCGATACATTCACGGCCAGG